GGTTGATATTTTCCAAATTCATAATATATAAGGTAATCTCATGAATGACATGATTTTTGCATGTATGGATTTTGATATCAGAGTTCATACATATCTGATGTCCATGTTAGCACGATGAGTCTTTTTGTTTGAATTGTATACCCATGTATATTAAAAAGACAGTGTATAAAATTAGAGTATTATAGTGAATAATGGGAACATAGTGTAGTCTCATATTTTACATCTTTTTCTAATTCCAACAATGAAATAGTGTGTATTCAGTTGTTTTGTGGAATATTAAAAGCTTTGAAATAATCTTTGATGAACCATGAGCATAATATTTGAAGACCAAAAATGGAGTTTTAAAATGGATACTACCAAGCATGACTTGATAATACAAAAAATGCAATGTTTAATAGTATAATGAGTTTTTTTAAGACAAGAATTTATACAATGAAGAACAAAATTACATGTGAATTATTAATTTTTTAGTCTATATTTTTTAACTCCACTCATTGTAAATAAATTATGTCTCTAATAATGAAGTTCTGAAATTTACTTTGCTTTGTCGTCATAAATCAATTTAAATTTTTATGCAACAACTAATGTTGTGCTTTCCAACAACTTTCACTTTGCATGTCCATTCAACCTTGTTATCTTAATATGCCAAATTATTTTTGTTGTTGTCATCCTTACAATTAAAAAAATGTTTACTAACATTAGGAAACATGCTTTGATACAAATCATTTTTTATTCAAAGTGTGTAAAATCATAGGATTTATTTTATACAAGTCATTTTGAAAGATTTTTCATTTTTCATATAACAAATTAAAATTTCTCACGACCCATTTTTAATTTTTAAAATGATTCTTCTATGGACAAATGTTCACTCCATATGTCTCAATTCTTGACTCGTACCTATAATTTTTATTTAAAAAATATCTCTTCTGCGAGAAATAGATAAAAACAATCTAGATTTATGGTAACCCAAAAAAGACTAAATAAAAGGAACTTAAATGACAACACTTTTCGCTTAATGAATTCATTTCATTCTTTATGAAACACTTCTGCCTAAATAAAAGCTCCCTATGCCCAATTTGATTAGTAAACTCATTCTTCTAGGAAAAAATAAAAACTCTCTACATCCAAAGTTTTTAGTTATACATATTATTTTTAAAAAAAAAATTATTTTTAATAATGGAAACAATCAACCAATATTTCTGGCAATCCAAAAAACACTAAATAATTTTAAAATCAACTTAAATGAATACATTTCTTCCTAAATGAAAAGATTTCATTCTTATGAAATTATTTAAAAAAAATATAGTGTTAAAAAACCAAAATATAATAAGAATTGAACACGTGGTAAATGAAAGTCATTTTGAATCATTTTAATTTATCATTTGACAAATAAAGACTCCTTACATCCCAAATTAAGTAAACAAATAATTATTTTGTTCAACCAATTCATTTATGAATGAATTTAAATGAGCTTATGTGAAAATATTTCTCCCAAAACGATAACATTTAATTCTCATGTAACATTAAGAAACCAAGAAGTTGAGAACTAAGCACAAGGTAAATACAAGTTATTTTGAAAGATTTTCATCTTTCATAGAAAAAAATTACCTAGCTACGTCCCAATTTGATTTGTAAATTTAATCTTTAATGGACAAATTTAACTTCCTACGTTCTAATTTTTGAGTCATACCTATAATTTTATTATAAAAAAGCCTTATTTACTGTGAGTAGTGAACAAACAACCCAGAATTATGGTAATCGAAAAAAGATATATTTTTTTATAAAACAACATAAATGAAAATACTCATCGCTAAATAAAATCATTTCATTTTTATAAAACACTTTGGCCTAAATAAGAACTCTCTACGTCCCAATTTATAGTAAACTCTTTCTTTTAGGGACAAATAAAAACTCTCTACGGCCTAATTTTTGAGTCTTACATATTATTATTTAAAAAACCTTACTTATTGCCAATAATGGACACAATGAACGAAGATTTCGTGTAATCCAAAAAACACTTTTTTTTAAAAATCAACTTAAATGAAAATACTTCTACAAACATTTCATTCTTATAAAATTCTTTTTAAAACTAAATTGTAAAATCCAAAAATCATGAGAATTGAGCACATGGTAAATGAAAGTCATTTTGAATACTTTTTTTAATCATTTGACAAATAAAGACTCCCCACATCCCAAATTAATTTATAAAAGTATTGATAATTTTGTTCAACCATAATGGAATCCTTGGATTGAAAGATATATTGCATTCAAAAATTGATGAACTAAATTAAAATTACCTAAAGAATGTTGTTCAAATTTTTTGTAATTAGCAATAGAATGGTCTACGAAATTCTTGAGTTGTACCTATATAATAAATTGAAAAAATACTTACATGATTGTTATCCTATATATATATATATATATATATATATATATATATATATATCCTTGGTTGTTACAGAGTTGAATAGAACAGTCAAAACCCAGTCCCAGTTGGAAATGGGTTAGTTTTTTGCCATCACATTTAGGTTCCATAATTGCTAAAAAATGGATTTGAAAGTCTTTGATAAGGAAATTTAGCCTTGGGAGATTTGAGGCCAGGCCTCTGATATTCCAGAAAAGAAAATTCATTGTAGAAGGGTAGAGAAGGAATTTTGAGATGAAACCTTTTCTTGGAGCCTAGCTGATCTCCTTTTGATTTCTGATTCCAGAGTTTTTTTGGATGTGATTGGTTCCTTGTTTGCAGGTTTGGTGCACTTTCTTGGAAGGGTTTCTCCTTCAGAGTGGTAGTCAAAGGTATATTGCTGTTGGTTGACCTGAGCTGCCTCTGCCAGCTTTCCTTTGATGGTTTCATCTCTTCCTCGTGCCAAGATGTGGAAAAGGATTGAGAACATCTCCTCTTCAAAGATGGTCTCAAAAGGTATCTGATTAGGTGAAAAAGAAATGGGGGTAGGAGTGGAGGGAAGGGGTGTT